TGGAATCTGTCCCTATTTTCACATTGTTTCCTTCCATCTTACCTATTTGTAATTAAATGTTTACCTTTTTATTTATGGACTGTAAGCCTCATGAAGGCTGGGAAACATCTGCTGTGTTGACCAATGTATGCCCAGTGCTGGCTAGAGGAAATCTGTTTAGTGAATCTTGGTGGCATATAGGCGTGAATGTAAAGGAGGAGGAGTTTACTCAGTGATTTCCACTCACTCTACCGCAGTGAAACGAAAGCAAACTTTGGTGGGTTTTGTTTAACTGTAGGCAGATTGATATGGACTGAGCAATTCAATGGACTGCATTCATCAATTTTGGTCTCCGGGGTAGAGTCTTGAGACTAAGTCCCAGAATTCTTGGCCCCACCCCGTTTGTGGCATTAACACACACACACACACACACACACACACACACACACACACACACAGACCTTGGCATAGTTCACCAAGCAGGTGTTTTTTGTTTTTTTTTTCTCTTTGTTTCAAAGAGGCTCAGCTGAACACTAGATTCCTCGCCCAGCACAACAATCAAAAATCCAGAAAACCTCAGCTGCCTCTGATGATGTCACAAAACCCTTAAGAATGCTCACTGCTGGGCTGGGCACAGGTCCAGCAAACACAATTCTTTCTGCCAGTTATTCAGCGTCTTTGACAGGTTAGGTGGTCTTTTTTTTTTCTTTTTCTTTTCTTTTTTTTTTTTCATCCTCTTAAAAGGCAGTTCAGTTTACCTCTAAGCAAGACATTAGCTCTGGCGGCCCCAAATAACATTTTAATTGAAGTCTCAGTCCAAACAAATGCTCGGCCTCTTTATTAACCCCAACAGTGTAATTTTTCAACCCGGGACTGATTCAGGGGGAAACTGTCTCACTTAAACTGCCATGCTACGGAACATGGCGGTTTTCCTCAATCAGTCTCTATTCTGACCTTAATTTGAACCCTAATCTCTTTTAACCATGTTCTCTTTATTAGCTGCCCCTCGCTTGCCACAATACTAATTTTCCTGTTTTTGGACTATCGCTTTACAAAGGTATTTTACTCCCCCTTCTGTCCCCAAATGTAACCAAGAATTTCATGGGCCTTTTTGAGAAAGGGGAAGGTAATACTTATGCTTACCGTTTTTTAGGTTTAGTAATTTAAATAGCTGCCCTACAGAATGTTCTATACAATTTTAGACTGTATTTTTGAGGTACATTAAAGTTTATGAAAAAACCCATACACTTAATTGTCAGAAAAATAAAAAATATATATATTTAAAAGGATTATAAAATATATATTTTTTTATACACAGACAGGTCCAGACTAATAAAGTAGGAACTAAGGCTATTATCTTGATAATTAGGGCAAAAACAGTATTTTATTAGAAGCTTCCCATCTTTTTTGAGGGGAGTGGGGGCCTGAATTATCCAGATAATTACTTCAATTCCTTTCTTCATTTTTTATGCTTAGATACAATGAGTAATGGCAGAGAAAATAATTTATTTTCTTAATGATACCTTTCCACTTTCTGACATTGGTAAAAAGATCCAAATTAAAAAGGAAAGCAAAAACACCTTTTCAATAACAATGAAAAAAACAAACACAACAACCTGTGTTTTTCTATTTGGAATCTACCTTAATATAGCCGAACTATGTAGGGACAAAAACAGTGCTGATGATCATGTGCTCAATTAGATGTATTATAGGTCCTTGTACTTTTTGGCATTAGCATGAAAGCATATTGGCTGTTATTTGTTATAACCTAATTGGACACTTTGTCTCTATTTACCCCTCTGTTCTCTGCTTAATACAATGGTTTGATGATTGCAAAAATTACATTTCTGTGACTTTAAAGTCCTAGAACTAGGACTGTCATTGAAAGTTGGAGGTTTGGCCTTGGTGTTTGGAAGACTTCTGGGTGAGAGGAGGTAGGCAGCTGGGAACAATTGTCTGTCCCCTGCAGTGTTCAGAGGCATTCGCAGCGTGCTGGCACTGTAAACTTTGCCTTCATTTCATTGGCTCGAACAATTAGTGGGATTGAATCAGAGTTTTCCTGGATCATAGTTTATTACACGTTATTAAATTCCACTATTCAAGAAGTTGCTGCTATGATTATAAAACTTCCCGACATGTCCCTCAAAGCCCCCTTCTCCATTCCTTGAGTATTCCTTTTCCGTGTATCTTATGCTTCTCTCGTAGACAAGGTTTCTTTTCTTCTTTTTCTCCCCGCTTGGTGCTCATTTAAGGAGCTAAGAGCTAATGTGAAAATACATCTTTGAAAGGATAACAAAAATGAGAAGTGAAAAAAAAAATGGATGAGGATTCTTAATTAGTCTGTTATTTGTCACGCACGATTTAACATGGTATGCTTAGCATTGTGCATTCCCCAAAAGAACAAGGCTCTTTTTTTTTTATCCCAAACTTTAGCTGCCTCTCATTCATTATATCCCTTCTTGTCACTTTCCATTAGCTGATTGTGACATCCTTTGCTGGAAGGGCGAGCAAGCAGATTACTTCCAAACTGGTGTAAGTGACACTCAAAAGACTGGCCTAAAGGGGGTTCTGTGACAGCAACAAGCTCCTTAGCCCCTGGAGTTGGAGAATGTCATTTCAATAATATATTGGAGTGCACTGTCACAGCATTTTTGTAGCAACTTGTTAACTTCCCAGAAGAGGCAGAAATGGGTTTCCTGCTGGAACTTAATATATTGTTATAGCATCTAGTGTTGTCCCTATTTCTGATGATGGTGATGATGATAATACTTTATTGTACCGATCCAACACTTCTAACTAGCATATCTTATATTTTACAGATGAGGAAACTGAGGAGCAAACAAGTTAAGTAAATTGTCCTATTGTCCCATAGCTAATAAGTAGCAGAGCTGAGGTTTTAATTGGGGTCATTCCATTCGAGCAGGCTACACACACTGCACTAACTTGTAGGACACGTTAGCATCTCTCTCTAAAGCAAAAGAAATGATCAAAAGATTATTCATTTTAGTGCAACTGGAAAATATCCTCACGAGGCACTTCTAAATGGAGGTGGGAGCTGACTGAATGGGTCAGCCTGGGCTCAAACTCAGATGGGTAGATTATACAGACTAAGAAAAGAAGTGGAGAGTCTGATGTTCTGATTAGATCAACCCTGAATATGTGAATTGTCCCCAACCATTATCCCTGTCCCCCTTTATCCAAAGGTCCAACCTTAGGAATCATCCTCGGCCTTGGAAGGGGGTTGACCTGGGAAGAGCTAAATGCTTGCAGATAACAGGTGAATCCAAGTCAGTCACAGACAGGATTCTGATATGAACAGCACCAGTGCCAATCCTGGCTGTCACCCAGACCCTCACCCCAGCTTCTGACCTCATAAGGTCTTCTGCTCTAGAAAACTAAATCTTTGTCATTAACCAAGTTCCAGCTTCTTTCCTTCAGTAAGAAAGTTTTAGCTTCTTTCCTCCAGCAACCTTTGAAACGTTTTGATTATAACATAGAAAATATGGAAATAGCACTACATTAAATGGAACGGCTCACCACTAGAGGAAATTGGTAGTCTTATGGTATATGCCTTTCTAGACTAGGTTATACCTATGGCAGTATAACATGGTGGGACAGATGCTGAAATCGGACCACCTGTCTTTAAATCTAAACACTGCCACCAGCAGTGTCACCTAACCTCTCTGGGCCTCAATGTTTCGCTTGCAAAGTACCTCCCGTGCAAAAGTTGTGACAATGACGGGGTGCATGTGAGGTCACTGGCCCATGGGAATCAGTTATTTCACTCTCATTACCATTACGTGTGCGTTGGCCCGGTGTTCTTGTCTCACTTGCTGTTTCTGACCCTGTTCCAATCCCCTGGATTCCAAGTCCATAAATAACTTCATCCTCAACCATGATTCTGTCCCTTTTTAGTCCGTGTGCTTTCACCAGCCTCCCCCTTACTGCACATCAGTGACTTTCTAGGTCTCACATTCTGTTTAACTTTTACATCAGCATCGATAGCATCTTATTTCTACGTCTTGTTTGCTGGACACATTTCTGCCTGGATGTCCTGCTTCCCCTGCCTGGCACCAAGGCAAAGCCTGAGAATCCCTCCTCCTTCTCGTCTGTCTGGAACTTCCTTAAGGCAGTGTTTCCCCAGGGGTACGGGCAGAGTTTGGTGGGGGTACGCGTTGCACTGGAGTTTGGTGGGGATATGCACTGCACCGTGCTTAGCTGCGCCTAATTCTGCCTTCTCATGAGTATGAGGGGTACTTAACGTTATGCAAATTATAGAAGGGGTACACATATGTCAAAAGTTTGGGAAACACTGGCTTAAGGGATTGCGCATGGAGGCAGCATCAAGAGTTTGTGATCCTGCAGATAGCAGTAGTAGCATCAACCTCCAGCTTGGGGGCAAAATAGGTTCCAGATACACAGGGTGGGCAAAAGAAGGCTTACAGTTGTGAGGATGTGAAACACAGAGTTTGTTCTTGTATTATCATTTACTAATTGTATTATTTTCCACATGAACAACTTTAAGCCTACTTTTGCTAACCACGGTATAGATCCAATACAAGGGCAATTATATTTGTTAAAACCGTTTTAAATGTAAAAAAGGATTTTAAAAATGATTATTATTATTATTATTATTATTATTATTATTTTTAAATGCCTGCTGTTGTCAAGTCTGTCTTCTCACAGATCTTTGCACCACTCAGAAGGGGGAAAATATGTATATTACATATGTGTGTGTGTGTGTGTGTGTGTGTGTGTGTGTGTGTATTTTAACTGGCAGAATGCATGTGATGGGAGAGTAGATGGCCAGCGACAGGAATGGGGGAGGGGAATTACATTTAAGGAAGCTGTGAGTTCACATAGACCTTTCAGACTCAAAAAAAAAAATGTTGATTTTACATGCCAAAGTCTTGAAAGGGGCTTGACGGCTCACGGCTTTGGTGTATTTTTCCAGATGGCAGATGCCATTTTGTGTTTTGCATAAATGGACTAAATTTGCTTGCTCTTTGTACTTATTTCAGAGGCAACCATTCTTTGCTTTCAATAGGACAGAAGAGCTCCTTGGCACTGAAGCCCTCCTGGTCTGTGAGGGAGGAAGGAGGGATGTTCTGGGGATACACAGGCATCAGCCAAAACTTCCTTCATTCAGATGAGGAAAGAGCTTGGGCTGGGGCTTCTGATGCTCGTTACCTAAGGATTGTTCTGACCGAGTGAATCATAGAAGGTCAGCTACGCTGAAGAACTTCCCAAAGTTCCCTTTCCACTTTGCCCATTTTTATCCCCGTGGAGGACCCTTAGGTTTGTTAGATTCTTATTTCAACTCCTCTACATATTACTAATTCCTAGATATGTGATCCTATAATTCAGCACCTCTGTGCTTCAGTTTCTCCAAGAAAAAATAAAAAGGGGGGGATGATAATAATAAATAATACTTATCTCTGAGGATTGCTGTGAAAATCCCATGGATTCTAAATCCATGTAAAGGGTTGAGAACAGTGCTTGGCATACAAGTGCTCAAAAAATGTGGGTAATTATTATTGTTGTGATTAATTTCTGTGGGAATTTGCATGCTTTTCTTATTTTCTGCTGATGGGCCCTGTCCTACTCCCTATGCTGACTCTTTGGGTAGTTTTTATGGAACTAGACTGGCGATCGAGTGGCTAAACTACAGGTTTTGCAGTCAAATAGAGTCAAGCTAGAGTTCTTAAAGTAACATTCAGTAGATATATATCATCAACAAGTAACTTAATTTTCCCAGCCTCAGTTTCTTTATCTATACAACAGGGATGGTAATAACAATATTTGCCTTACAACATTTTTGAGAGGGTTAAATGAGACAGTGCTTGCACAATGCTTGCAAGTATATAAAACATGCTATGTGTTGTTATCATTTTTGCTCTTACACTAAAAAATGTCTTTAGAAGCCTGTCAAGGCTCCAGGGTTCTGGCTTCATGTCAACTCCTCCACCAGAAAAGAGGGCAAACACAGAAATAGAAATATGCTGTGAGGCTGTGACTTCATGGGGACTCTTTGACAACTAATGACACAAAATTGAGAGTATTGAGTCTTGCTCAACATGGATTTCAATTAAAGTTAGAAAACTCACAGTTCTAAGCAGGTCAGTCTCACTAGGGGTTATCCCAAAGGACAAGAACTATTGAGATAGGAACTAAAGCCTATTTTTCTGTCCTAAAGCCCCCCAAATAAAGCATAGGGTAAGTAGGTTCTGGAAGAAACAGTTACTTGTGCTGCTTACCTCTCATGAAGGAATGTGGCATAATGCACATTATACAATAGAATGATCAAGTTTCACATCTTCAAACATGTATGTTGATTTCTTCCCTCAAAATGAACATGGATGGAAGTGGCACCTGTGAGTGGAAGTAAACCCCCTGCATACTATGATCATGCTATCGGACAGTTGAAAACTGTCTAAATCATGTTTTCCTGCCTCATTCGTCACTGATGACTGGCCAGTATGAAGGGAACAAAGAGAACACAACTGAACACTTGAAGCTTTTACCCCAAAGCCAACAGGGTACCTGAAAAAAAATAGAAGAGCATGGAACAAGTATATAAAGCATCCACAATCTTGCAGATATTTTGTTTGCCCTCTTAGATTTGTTTTAACCTCCTCTTTCACTGATTATTACTTATAAAGTAAGAATCAGATGGGGTTTGGTTTGGAAGGAAAAGGGGCAGAGATGACTTTTTTTTTTTTTTTTCAATTCTGACAAGATGACAACCCCATTTTTTTTCTCTTGACCTCATGCTTAGAAATGGCTCAGAAAGTGGAATGCTATGATTAAAGATCATTAACAGTGATGTAAGAGAGGAAAGTTAAGATCAAACAAGAGACAAAAGAAAGTACATGTCAAAAAAGAAGAAAGCCCTAGCTGGTTTGGCTCAGTGGATAGAGCATCCGCCTATGGACTTAAGGTTTGGGTTTGATTCCAATCAAGGGAACGTACCTCCATTGCAGGCTCGATCCCCACCCGGGTGGGGGCGTGTGTGGGAACTAACCAATCAATGTGCCTCTCTCACATTGATGTTTCTATCTGTGTCTCCCTCTCCCTTCCACTCTAAAAGAGAGAGAGGGGGGCGGGGAAGAGAGAGAAAATAAAAATCAATAGAAAAATATTAAAATATTCTTGGGTGAGGATTAACAAACAACAAACAAACAAACAAACAAACAAAAGACTAGTTAGAGAGAACAGGAGGAAGCTTTATTAAAGTGGGGGAAGGAGAATAATAGCAAAACAACCAATAAAACAAAAACCCCAAAGCTTTATAATACTGTGACAGAGAGGCTAGCTGGTCAATGAAGATTTAACCTCCCCTTCCACAGAGTAGAGTTGTTCTTGAGAAGCAATTACTCAGCCACAGACTACATTTCCCAGCCTCCCTTGCAGTGATGTGGGACTATGAGACTAGTTATTATTAGGGGAATCTAAGATGAATTAACATGTGTTACTTTTGTCCTCTGTTAAGATTGTGTGTATTTTCCCTATTCTCCCCACTCCCCTTTCCCTTGCTTCACCCTCTCTATCTTCTGGCTGCACAACTCTGATGTCTGCCATATCGAGAAGATATGAAGCCATTACATGGAAGGAATCTGGGTTCCTGAATGACTTTTGAAGGAGGGAGCCTAGGACAGTTGCCCAACCAAGATTATACACATTAGACTTTTTGTGAGTGATAAGTGAACATTGATGGGTTAAGCCACTGAGCTTTCTGGGGTCGCTTGTTACACCAGCAAGCATTACTTACCTTGACTAATACAGAACTTGACACCAGAAGGGTGCTCTAGAAGGGAGTGCTTTTTCTGTTCATCTTTGTTTTAAGAACTAGTTAATTATTTCCTGATAATCTTTTTTTTCTTCTATTGTGTTATGAAAAGCAGCCAATAACAACCCACCCATGCTATTTTTTCACCTACAAGCCCAAGAGTCATGTGGTCTGACTTTCAAGTTACTAAAGGCAACAGATTTGCTCAGTGTTTTTCCACTGCCCGATAGGGATCTCCAGCTGTCTGGCCTAATATGTTTCCAGCAACTTGACTACAAAGGTGATGCCACATGTTTTAGGGTTTTGTTATAGGATACCACATCTGGCATGAAATGTAACAGTCTCCTTTGGTCAGAAAAAAAGAAGCCTCTTGTGGCAGATGTAAGGCAATGTGTTCACCAAGCCATTATGTGCCCAGGGAGGAGACCATAGTTCCCACTCCCTTGCAATGTAATTGGGTCCACGGCACCAATTCTTTAATGGAATGTAAGCAGACATACTGTGCTACCTTTGGTCCAGGGAATTAGGAGTACATGTGTTTTTTCTCTGCTTTCTCCTCCTCTTCCATAGGAATCTTGAATAACATGTATTCAGATAGCGTAGCTACAAGATAGAAGCCACTTGGCCTACATCCTGAACAAGAAATAATCTGTATTTTGTTATGCTGCTCAGCGTAGGAGCTTGTTTATTACCAAAATATATCTATCTCATTCTGACTTATTATGAAGGAATAACATGTACAGAATTTGAGATTTACAGGGAGAGTCAGGGAGTAGAGATCAAGGAGATTGTTGGTAAGTTTCAGGAAATCCAAAGTGAAGGACTCGCCGGGAGGCCATGTTGCTGCTGCTGGTCTGAGCAGCCTGCAGCACTGAAGGGGGTGGTTCCCAGGAGGATGCTCAGCAGCAGACACCTGGCCCACGTCTGCTGCCTGCCAGTGCCCACACACCTGCTTGTAGCTACCAAGAGAGCAAAGTGGTTTCTTCCTTCCACCTTCCAATGATTGTGCCTCCCAATGGCAAGATCATACCAAGTGGCACAGTGGGAGCTCAGGTCAAAGATGGTACTTACTGAGTCTCAATGAGAAAGGTCTGGCACAAGTGTTCCTTGTCCTTCCCATAGGAAATTCAAATGGCCATTCCTCCATAACCCATTTTCTCTTAAAAGCTCCTTGAGGACAGGTCTTAATCAGCTCTTTATTCCCAGGATTAGACCATGCCAGACAATAAATAGTTCTGAAGTGATTTGGATGGGATGACAACAGAATCGAAAGCAAATGATACACTTGTCCCCAAGTGTTTAAATTGGATTTCAAGGACTGCTGTCCATAGAACCTGACCATTCTTCCTAATGACTGCCCCAGATTCTGCCTCAGCTCAAGCCATCTTCCTTTCTAGCCTGCTCAAAAAGGGACCTGAAGCTGGAGCTCTGGGTCCTGTCTGCACAGCCAAAAGGGGGAGGATCTGACAGTAGTCTAGTTTATTGGATTCATGGAGACTTTCATTAAACAGCATTATCAAGTTGGCTCTGTAGCATGAGTCAAGGTGTTTCTATATTTTGTACACTTGGTTTTGAACACTACCTTTGAGCTCTGGCAGAGGTGGGATCTCTTTGGCAATGTAGGATTTATGAGTTCACCTTGGGGCAGGTTGTGGAGTATTCTCAGTGAAGAGGAGGTGGAGTGGGTTTGGATACTAGGAAGACCTGTTCAGCTGTAAGCAGAGGGAGGGCCAGACCCTGGTGTGATTTTATCTGAAAAGGCACAAAGGTAAAACTCTGAGGAAGATTAAAGACATCCTCTTGATATTTATTTTCCCCACCAAAAAAAAAGGGTAAGACTACTGTGCCCATGGTAAAAATAATGGTGGAATGACCCAGACTTATTTAGAACCATCAAAGAAATTAAATATATGGATCATGTCGATAATTAATCTTTTGGTTATTATCAAATGGTGGCTGTATCCAGCTGAAGAGCACTGTGTGCATAATAACAAAATTATGGGAGATATGGTGATGTAACAATTGCTAGTGCCCAGCATTTACCCTCTCTTTTCCATTCCCACCCACCTTGATCTCTGGCTATATTTAGTTGTTTTTGCATAGTGCACCTGGGCCAAAATCTGCTTTACAAAATTAAAAGAATACAGAGAAGAGCTAGAGTCTTCATAGAAAAATCAGACTCCATATAGGTTACCCACATTCCTTGTCGGTTAATATATTTTCCCCTACTTTGCACCTAGACTCATGGCTGAAACACAATCACGTTTACTTTGTATAAAGGGAAGTAGGGCATTGAGCAATCACCTAATGAATATAGTCAAGATGGTTAATGAATCTGGAAAATTCCACTCTCAAAAAAATTACTTTCTCTACTCTGTAGCAGATTTCCTCTTGGCCTTAATTATCCACAGAGTTGTCCAATTTTTCTGATAATATTTACCCTTGTTGACATCACCTTAATAATTTATTTAATGGATTTCATTGGGTTTATTTGGGAACCCTTTATTCTAAGTGGCTTCTTTATCAATTAATGCACCTATTCAATAAACATAGAACTCCTTTCCAGTTGTCTGTTGCTGTATAATAAACTATCCAGAACCTAGTGACTTAGTGCAACAATTCATTACCACTCTTGGTTCTTGAAGCTGATGGGCTCAGCTGAGCAGTTCTTGTTTGGAGTCCTCATATGATTGCTATCAGATGGTAGCTGAGATTAGACCCATCGTGTATCTGTCATTGGGTTAGTTGGGAATATCTCTCTCTCTCTCTCTCTCTCTCTCTCTCTCTCTCTCTCTCTCTCTCTCTCTCTCTCTCTCTCTCTCTCTCTCTCATTAGCTGGGGTATCTTCAGAACTTGTTGTTCCCTTTGTGATCAGCCTTTTAACACTGTGACCCAGCTTCTTCTAGCACAAGTGTTCTGAAACAATCAAGTCGGAGTTACAAAGCCTCTTAAGACCTAACCTTAGCTTTCATGCGGATTACTTCTATCTTCTGTTTGTCAAAGCAGTCCCTAGGCATCCCAGATTCCAGAAGTCAGAGAAGTAGATTTCAACTTACATTAGCGAATCAAGTTTCTTTCTGATGGCAGTCATTTAAATGACAAGCTACCACAAGCCCCTACTATGTGACAAGCACTAAGTTAGGTGCTGGGGAAAAGTGTTGAACAAAACAAACACAGCCTCTACCCTTGGGGAGATTAAAATCCAGCGTAACTAACTTCAGTTTGACTCCACAGTTTTTACAATCCAATGCTAAATAGTAAGTCCCAATAGCAAGTATATTTGGGTATGAAATTTGCAAACAGTTGTTCTGATCATTTGTGGTGTGGTCATTTTGTGGCTTTCTGGTCCATATCCAGATCAGCTTGATAAGCTGGTTCATCCATGCATTCCTTAAAACATTGTCCGAGCATAGCAGATACTCATCTGTGGCTTACCATGTGGAGTTCCTACTGTGCATGGAGGCTGCGACTAATTCTTCAACTTACATTAGGGAATACAAGAGAAGCTGCAAAGTCAGATTTTGCTCCTGCTGGGCTTCCTCTTTTGGTCCGGTGCAGGTAGAGCAATTTGTGACAATTACAAAGCAAGAAGGGCACCTAAATAACACAGGATAAACTCGCCAGGTAGAATCTTCCAGATCCCTCCCTGAGAATTCTCTTCTGGAGAGAAGTGTTTTATTATTTGCCTCAGTTTTCTTCTCCCTGTGCCATTAAGAGAAGGTGAGCTAGGTTAAGTGAAAGGAGATTTCAGAACAGGAATGTTGACAGAAGAATTGTGCTGCTCAGCAAATCTCAAGTCTTATCATTTTTGGCATAGTTCATGTCCATTCAGTGATAACAGCTAGGAGGACTTGGGGGAGAGGGCTCATGATGACACAAGAAATACCTTGACATGTCAGAAACAAAGGTCAAAGCCTGCAAAGGTCCAAGGGCAGGCAGTATTCCTGTGCACACTTGTCAAGTTCCCTGCCATGAAACTATTGTGCTTTCTTATGGCATGCCTATATACCTTTCTTATCTCACAAAGAAAGAAAGGACATTATAGGGGATGACTGAAGCAAAACTAAATTTTGGCTCAGCTTTCTTATAATAAGGCTCCTCTATCAATCCATTAACTTCAACTTCATAGTTCATACTGCAGCAATAGTGACACTTGTGTCCCCTGCTTATGATTTGCTAAATTAAACTTCTTTTCAGTTGTCATGCCATCTATCTACCTGAAATGCCTGTCCCTGATTTCTCTGGATATTCATAATATATTTTAATTATATCCTATTCTTCA